TGCCGGGCCGGGGCGCTGCTGGCTGCGTCACACCAGCCCCGCAGCGGAGCTGTGTCATCTCCTGCCCCGGGGCTGCGCTCCCGCAGTTCTGCAGCTTTTCCGTGTGGATCGTACAGCGATCGCAGCGCGCCCCTGTACCGTCCCGGTCGGTTAGTAGCGCGTCCGGCGTTAGAGCGCAGGTCGGTGCCGAATACCGGGCTTTACAACACGAACAGCACAGGGAGGTGTTCGCCCTGTTGTTATTATTGTTTTGTAGTTTGCTATTTCTTTCTTTAACAACAAATACTGATCAGGTTACAAAAGCGACTATTAAAGTGTGGGTAGCTGGCTAGAAAAGAACACGTTTTCGAGATGCTATGATGTTTCTTCCTCTCGTAGGTACCAGCATATCCTGCATAGAAACCTCATTTATTTAGCTACAATTGCTGATGCAGCGCCCCCCAGCACGCAGAAGACTGTAGACTGACTGCATGTACCCAGACAGGAGCAGTGATGCTTTACGAATCTGTAGAAAAACTTAGTTTAGAGTTCCGCTTTGAAAGCCGAGGAGGACTGGTCCTGAAAGGCAGGTAAAGAGTCATCCATACCTTTTAAGTTAAAAAAGTGAATGTAGTTTTTGATGTAATATAAAGCTATGTTTTTCCCTGTTACTGTAAGCAGAACTCAGGGCTGTATTTAGCACACTTCTTTTCCCCCTGAAAAGCTCCACGTAGTATCCTTCTGAAAACAGCCTGGTTGTCGGGACAGCAGGACCAGAGGTGTCTTCGGAGGACTCTCATATTCATGACTAAGGTTGTCTAATAATAAGCGTTTAGCTAGGTAACTTCTACCTCCAACATGGCAAAAAGTCAGTCGTACATTACCATATAAGCAGTAGACTGTTTTGTATCATAGAAATTGTGCTTAATAAACTAAGATGTTCTTTATAAATTATAGTATATTCTGGATTAATGTAACATCAACAAAGTAGCAGCAGGTGATTTAGTGCACTAGAAATGCCAATTTTTCTAGGGAAGATGGGGCTGTTGTATAACTTGGAGCAATTAAGTGCAAGGGAGAAACAGAGCCTTTATTTCCATGACAGAAGGCTGTGTTTGCCCTAGTTGTGTCAAGACTTTTCCTTTTTGCTTGAAATGCTCTGTACTGCAGACTCTGTAAACAAGTAAATTCTTGCATACTCAAAAAGGATTCATATGCTTCCTGGGTGTTTGTCAGCAGCATTGATGTCCAGCTGTACAACCTGTCTGCTCTTGCCCAGAAAGAGCACAGCTTCCTTGCACACCAGTGGCATGATTAACATCAACTAAGGAGGGGAGTTTGCTAAAAATTCAAGTGACTTGGTTTTGGCAATGTTCATCTGCACTACTGGTTCAAAGACACTGCTGAGGCATTTCCTGTATCATGTTCTTCAGTGCACTCTACTTGAAGAAGTAGCATTAAAGATGCTTCAAATTGCACAGTGCATAAAGTTCACTTTTATATGATGAGTCAGTAAGTAGGCAGTTGACAATTTTCAAACTGTTAAATAATCCCATGTTAATGAAATAAGATCTTTGTTTACAAACCAAAGTTACAGTTTAAGGTGCTGCTCATGTTCAGCAAGGTGCATATTTTAAACAGGTCTGACCTATTAAATGTATATCTTTAATAAAGCAAATAGTTTACTTTTACAGAAGCTTTAAAATACAAAATGTACAGTTCCAGTTCAGAAGCATTAGCTATTCACAAGAAGCACTGCAATAAGGGTAAGTTAACTAAGCACCAAACCCTTGCACTTGGCAGTGTAAGTGAAGTTTAATGGCAAGACTCATTTGCCAAGTGCAACAATTCTTAAAGTTACCAGTGTTCAGAACGATCGGAAGCAGAGGACAGAGTAGCACCTACGTGGTCAAAATGCAGACAAACCTTGTTCTCACAATTCATTTCTGTAGATCCAGCAACTCGCCAGCATTTGTACTTATGAATAAACTGCAAAAACTACAGCAATAGTTTTGGCACTTGTTAGAAAAAGTTCAAAATTAAGTGTTTTCATTGACTTCCATTTTGGTCTTAGTACGAATAACCAGTAAGTAGAACCAAATTTAGGATTTAATATTAGATCTAAGTGACAAGATTTAGGAAACTCAAAACCATTCATCAAGTTAAATAACCACTAACATTTTCAGCAGAGGGTTTTCAAAATTATAGTAGTACAGACCATTAACAACTTACAGACAGAAGCCACACTGATTGTGCAAAGCACATTACTGTAAAAAGTCTATGTACAGCAAACAAATCTTTGTAAACATGGTAAGTATGAAGTTTCAGAAAACATGGTGACAATATCATAAATACAGGCAACATTGGCATCCTCAAACAGCACAGAAGGTAACAATCTGGGCCTGCAAATACAGCCCGTCACCATACAAACGAAAGGTGGATGGGTTTTAAATACCCAAATGTTCAATAGTTTTAGTGTTGTGTATACTTTTTATTTATATATATATATAATGCATTTTTTTGGTATCTTTAGATATAGATGTACTTAGTTTGTAAAAACAAAACCAAAAAATGTGCTTTATCTTCATTGAAAAATTATGTAGTTAGAACTAATAACCCATTTTACTAGTAGTTAACATATTAGAATGATATGACTTAAGAAAAATACAAAAATAAGATTAATACTGTCAAAACTCTTATACCAGAAAATATTGTGGTTTTTAGACTCTCTCAAAGATGAAATATGAAAATTTAAATAAGCTCTAACTATATAAAGAATCTTCTGTAATCTCAATTAATATACAGTGGGATAGCTATACATATATTTACCATTGTTCTTCAGTTTTTAAGCACCAGTCACTCTCCCCGGATCCACTTTGGTTGGAAGATTATTCCTAATTCCACAGGTTCACTTAATGGCACACACATTGACTGCAAATAATTACTTTATCCTTTTAAAAAAAATAATGTTCTGTTAACTAACTGCTACCCCATGTTTCAGTTTAGTATCTTCTGAGCCAGCTCACAATTTTTAATCAACTGTAGCATCTGAAGTAAGACTTTAAATATATGCAAGTAGTCTTTTAGGCTATACTTTCACCCACTTTGGGAACACTGTGTGGATAATGCCTTTGGCCAAATGAAGCAGTAAGAAATGGTGTATTTATTTGAAAACCAGTGTCATATTATCCACACAGATGCCGTCTACTTTTAGCAGCTCAGATAACATTTGTGACACAAGGTTGAGTGGTTCTGCCGATCTTTGCTTAGAGTAAGGAAACTACCACAAAACTCCATTTCACAACTGTTTCTCCAACAGTTTCCTCATGAACTCACTTGTGTGGCACATGAAAAGCTGCTGTTGCACTTCATTTTAAAAAAAGCTGCCCACAGGCCGTTTATGGAGAATACAAAGGCCTTACAGCTTGTCCATTATAAATGTAACACAAACAGTGTTGAGCAAAGTGACCACTATATATTTGCTTCAACATATTCCATGTGTTTCAGTAAGATGTTTACCTATAAATCTATATGAAAAATAGCTATAAAATACAGTGTTTCTTGTGTGGTAGTCCTTCAGCAGTACTGTTAAAAAAAAAAAGGATTTGAAAGTAAAGGCAATATACACATTTTTAAAAGCATTTCTACATCACAGTTTTGGGCTGTTTCATGTACAGCAAACAAACATATTGGTCGTATTTGCTCAGCACTGTAAATCAGAATTCAAGAGTTTGTAGATCTCGCCCAAACCCCCTCAATTCCATATTTAATGAGATAAACGGGAAATAGCCAATACACGAGTGTGAAACAAAGTATATGTAATTTGTGTTTGGCCCTGTGCTGCATTTTCCAATATGAAAAGCAACTAGTACTGATGCAGGTAAGATGGTCTGCGTTCGTGCTTTACCGGAAAAGATTTAAAGCCCTTATTCATCTGTTTGTGCTGGGAAGCCTGTTGTTGTGATTGCTGCTGCTGCACATAGGCAAAGTTGGAGGAGATCCCTGCTGCTGGAGCACAGTCGTTGGCTGCCGCCCACACAGGTGACTGGAGGATCTGCATCGTGTCGCTCCACTGGCTGACGGGGCTGCTCATAGGATACAAAGATGTACTCTGACCAGGTAGCGTGTTTGTGACAGAGGACGTATGCTGCCAGGGTGCCTTTGGAGGCCAAGTTTTGGTTTTGTTGTCCTGAGAAAACAAAATTAGTTGCGTTTGGGTTGTTTGTTTGTTTCAACTCCACTTTTTTGAGACAATACTTAACACATCACCTTATCCCCTCTTTAGGACATTTTCAGAAGATTAACTTAATGTTTGAAAGCAGAATTGATGCATATATGTAGCACACCCAACTCTTAAAATGTCTGCCCACTGAAAAACCTTTTTATTTACTTCAGCACATTTGCTTGACACAGCAGCTCCACTCTAAGTCAAAATTTCTAGCAAGACAGGTAATAAAGTCTGGTGATACTTTAGTTTTCTCTGCACAGGCAATTAAAATTGACTGTGTTGCCTCTTAACTTGAAATCTTTGGTTTTGTGATTATTTCTGCTACAAGGGAAAAAGATAAGTGATTTCCAATTTTAATATTTAAACGTGGTAACTTTGAAAAAAGCATCTAGTAGCATTTGAGTGCAAATGGTTTGGGTTTTAGCTGAGGTAAGCAATCTGGAGATACAGATGCTATTCTAGTTGGTTTCCTAGTGTAAACCACCCCAAAATGAAAACAGGAAAAGTGACTCAGCAAAGCCATTTTCAGCTTACCTGATTACGGTCATCTGCTGCAGAAAGAAGAGGTGGTGATGGTAGCGTACTAGGTTCCTGTTCACCACTACTGTGTTTTCTGCCCAAACAGAGAGTGACATTTACATATTATTTTTTTAAAGTGAGTCACCCACATTAATCTGCCACTGGCATATTCTATTCTGTAGTTTCAGTCTGTCATACTTGACAGCCTTGAATGTGTACTGACATTTCATCTTGTTTGATGTATTTTTGCCCAGTACAGGTAAAAGCAGCAATGCAGAAAGAAATTTGTTACTGAATACTGTCAGAGGCTTGACAGTGCAGTAGCTACAGCTTCAGCAGCATGCACACGTTTTTGCAGAGGTGAAACGAAGGTGGACTAGTCTTCTGCCTGCTTTGAAGAAATCTGCGAGAAATTGCCTTTTTTCTTCTGTTACCTGCTTTTGTTTGTGGTTTGGTTTTGGGTTTTTTATTAAAAATATCTTTTCTGAAATAACTTTACAGAGAAGACAAAAACTATTGAGCAAGTGAAACTTCTGCTGAAGCATAGTGACTTTACTGAGGAAAAACGTTACACCTTTGGTTTAAATTTATGCCCTAATATTTAATACAAGTCCTTGACCATGTTTTCTTGGTTTTGGTTAGGGTTTTTTGGGGGGAGGTGGAGGGTGTGAGGTAGGTGGGTTTAGATTAAAGCAAAATCTTTTATCCTTTCCTCCTTAGTTTACAAAAAAAAAATAAATACCACCACGCTTCAATCATCAGGCCTCCATAGGTGAGCAGTCCTTTGTAGGCCAGCTTTGGCATGCTCAACCCTTCCGCACCTTCTCTTATGGTATAGTTGTGGCTACGCTATTTTGTCAGGCCCTTGCTTGTAGAGTGTTTTTCTGCATAAGAGATAGTACTGTTACTTCATCTTAAGTTTTTATTCAATGAAGCACAAGCTTTTGTTCTTCTTGCTCCATGAATCGCTCCATGATCAACCTCTTTATATCTGCTGGCTTGGCAGATTAATTCACCCATTATATGCTTATTGTGTTTTCCTTCCCTGCTTTTTTTTAAAAAAAAAAACCAAAACCCACAAATAATTACTACTTTTTGCTGTGACTGCATATTAGATAGCTCTCTTCTATTAATTTCAATTTAGCATTTATTGAAGCTCAATTCCTGTCCCCTCTATATAAAGTCTTGGTAAGTGTAAAGATTCAGAAAACAGCTCCTCTTTTGGTCAATTCTTTTCAACCTGCTTGCCTTAGTCTCATTATTTTCAGCTTCAGTACACTTCCTTTCTGGCAATGCACATAAAAATAGCTGTCCAGGTATAATCTGCAGGAAACAGGCAATACATCCACTGACTTTTTCCTGTCACCAAAAACCAGACAATCTTCTATCTAAATTTATCCACTCTGAATTATTCTGTGATCTATTCAAAAATTTGGCCACAGAACTAGCTTTATTTTTAGAAGCAGGTCTGCAAAATGCTTTGAGAGAATGATCCCAAATTGGAATTGGGTTGGTATTCATGCTTTACTTCATGCTTTTCTTTTACTATTGTCTTAATTACCCTCTACTATGGAATCAGTGAGGTTCCAAAGATACCCATCTTCCAGCCCTTTAGAAAAGCAGAAAGCAATTGTTGTAATTCATACTACTACTTTTAAGTGGATTGTTCATAGTTGAAAATCCTGGCTTAGTTTTTAAATTACTAAGTTTATTTATGAATGCAATTAAGCCTCCTCTTCATATTGTCAGAAATAAAGGACTAAATGCTTATAGTGTATTTACAACTACTAAAATGGCAGTGGTAGGCAAGACAAAAGAGTCTACACAATGTTATCAGTGGTATTTCTTGAGTGCCACAAAGTTGCAGCAGAAGCCCGGAAATAAGTACTTGCTGGCATCAAAATGCACATCATTAGGGGCATGACATAGCTGCAGTGAAGTACACAGTTTAGAAAACCAATTCAAAAATGATCTCTAATGCCTCAGTATTTTAGAAGGAACTGGCATCCAAATCAGATTGTCTTGGAAGAGGGAAAGCGTCAGACCTCATCTAGATGTACTGAATGTCAGCTAACAACTGGCTATTTGCACAGATGCTAGTTTGTATAAGGAGCCAGCTACTAAGGGAACTCAAATTGGGAATCCCTAGCATCAAAGTCAGATACACTATACATTGATCCATACCATAGGTATAGTCTGCAAACTGATGTTTGCATAACTTCGTCTAATTAGCAGGAGTTTCCTTTGTGTGGCTACTCACATGAAATTATCAAAAGAAGAATAATCTTAGGAAGCAGTACGTGTTTCTGTTCATTTTGCTCACCTTCTCTGCTTCACAGCAGCAACAAGGTCTGGCCCTGAGAACATGGAGAACAAACTGTCTCCATTAGCTGAGGAGGTCTCATCACTTGAGCTGGCAGAGTCTCCTTGAGTACCAGACCAGCTATTTGTCACATCACTGTAAGACAAAAAGTTGTATTAGTCTTCATATTTGTAGTGCCTGGTCCAGACTCTATGCCCCCGTTAGTTACACTGAATCTTTGTCACAGGTGATATCTCAGAGCACAAAGAAACTTCAATACTTCGTAAAATGTACTAGTAATACAAATACTTTAACTAATTTACTTCTGAGTGATCACATCAACTGCTTTGTCTGTTACAGTCACTTTATATATATTTTACTAAAATAATCACATAAACTAAAAGCACCTGTCTTGGTCAGGAAAGAGAAAAAAGTGATGCTTTGTTTTGGAATTATTAAGCACTTGACTGTTTCATTGCAAACCTGAGCTAGAACATGTACTTCTCCTACTGGTTTTAAGCTAGCTTGAGCATCATAGCTATTACTTCATGGACAAAACAGAGAATCCTGAAACCCTTCTGTTGTAATGAATAGTTATGATTTGGAAGATACGAATGAAGAACTAACTTACTTGCTGTAAGGTACCTGCCTTATAGTAGCAAAATTAAGTGGCTAAAATCTGGAAAGCTGAATTCAGTCAGGCACTGCAACTTTGATAGCATTGCTTTTCATCAAAACTAGGTCTTAAAAGGTTTTCAAAATACTGAAAGAAAACTGTTCTGAATGCATCTGTGCTATAAATTCCTTATTTTCTCTGTTCAAGTCAAAGTTGGTATGCATTTCACTCTAAAGAAGACATAACAAATGTCAGTGCTTCGCTATCAGCAAAGCAGGAACGGCTCAGATTTCTCACTCTTGACATAATGAAGTGCAGCTTTCACAGAGGCAGCAGCAACTGGAAAAAGCACCCAGTATCCCAAGTTTGAGTGTAAAATAGACTCATATACAATAAAAATATGTAGCCTGTCCAATCTCTTACCCTTCTGTGAAATACTCAGGAAAGGGCCAGGTTTTATGAGGATCATCGGGAAGAGGCCAGTTGCTACGTGTGTTGCTTGGACGGCGGACATGCTGTGCTTGCCTTTTCTGTTGCATAGCCTGGTTGACCCCAGCAACATAGCGAGCAAATTCTGGATCAGAGCCAACTGAATAAAAGGAACCAAGAAGTCAGTTGCTAACATTCAGTTATTTCTACTGCAATTATCCCCCTCATTTAATCCTTTAGGTTTGACCATAGCCCACAACAGAAATTAATTCCCTCACTGGTAATAAGTGCCAGACAACAGTTGATACCTCTTCATGGAGCAGTGAAGAACACTGAATGGGAAATGTTTTTAAAAAGTAGATACGCACCATCCATACGTGGTGAATAATAATTCTCACACGGAAGAACACCTGCCCCTTGCATTCTATCAGGGAAATAGTATTGGTCACTATGATCATACCTATACACCAAAAGGTTCAATAGCCCATCAGCAGACGCTGACAGAATTAAAGTCTACGTTTACCCAAGCTCAGAGAAAAAGAACATACCAATTATTAGAGTTGATTACAGACTGCAACATGATTTCCAGCTCTGTTGTGATCCTGCTTACTTTGAGACATCAGAATCTCAGATTGATCATATTAGAACATGCAGCCCAGAAATTGCCCACTTCCTACAAAGACTAGACAACAATTTTGAAAACGTTCTGATCCTGACCTGCAAAATATTTCAGAATAAGATTGATATTTACAGAAAAAAGCAGTCATTCTTAAAACCAAAAATTCTTTTCATTCCTGAAGTGCTTTATGTGTCCCAAGCATTTGATAAGTGATAGGCACGATCTTGAGCAGACACAGCAAAAGCCTTAATCCAGAAGTGTTTTAAATGCTCAATTGATCAGAACAAATAATTCATGTATTAAAAAGAATGCTGTTATGAGTCAGTGTAATTGAGATTCCACAGCTTTTGTTTCTTTTTGCCTTTTTTTTTCCCCCCGAGAGGAATACTTTGCAATCTGACTGGATTTGTGGAAAATGTCTAGACTACACACATAGTAATTGGGGCAGGAAGTACAGAGCTGCTGTCTTGCTGGTCTCAGTTTTAAATTAAGAGTGAAGACTGAAGAACATCCAACAAGCATGCACAACTTGAAAAGCAGAAATCGGTCTTTCATAAATATCTTTATGTCAATTTAAGATGAGGCTGGAAGCTAGGCAGATCCTCAGATCTAAGGATAGATTCTAGATAGAATCTGAAGGGCATCCAGGTTTTTTTTCCTGTGGATAGCATTAAGTGTTTAATCACTGCTATATTCAAAATAGCAACTTGTGTTAATTTTTACCTCAATAAAAATATATCGGGTAAACAGCTTTTTATCAGATATGTTCTTGACTTCATTGTTTCAAATCTGTGAAAGTAACTCAAAAGACCTGGAGGTATCAACATTCCTTCTACGAGTTCTTACTGCAATATTCCTTCATCAAGTTCTTACAGATGATAAAAATACTGCAAAATACGTTTTGCGTAGCTAGTTAAGCTTTGACACGAAAAGCCATCAATTTTATAAATTCTTAATTAGCAGATTTGTATCTGAAAAAGAGATATCCTTTTCAGGCTCTAAAAATATTTATCAAAAAAGTAGTGCCATTTGTTTCAAATGGCAAGTGTACAAAGTCCTAAGGAAGTCTGAAAATGAGAAAGTGTTTTATGTTTTAAAGCTTTCTGTACTACACTAACTAGAGCTTAAATTGAAGATTCCTGCATCACGGCTCAACCTGGCAAGTTATATGAAGAAAAGTTATCTTTCCAGTGGAAAAATCTATTTGATGGGATTTCTTTTTGGTTGGTTTTGAGTTTTTAAACTCCAGATCTGAAAATGCTGGTTACTTGTCACTTCAACTGCAGAAACATGTATCTTAATCCACAGAGCACCGTTTATCAACTTGAACACATCACCTTTTCAGAGTATTGCTTTCAAAGTCCTTGATAATCATCATACCAAATGGCACAAAACAAGTAGCTTTATGTAGATCAAAACAGAAATACTACAGCAATATAATGAATTCAAAATGCCAGACCTTTGTATACATGCTTTCCCCCCCCACCATGTATTTGGTGTTTGGTGAAAATCATTTTATCCTTCCTTAAAAGTTATGATAATCCTTAAGTATATACCACAAGTATGTTTACATAAGATGATGCTAATTCAGACTTAAAATTGTTAAGAAGCTTTTGATAACATGATGCCTATTTTTGCCTGAAACTCCACTAATTTATCAACTAAGTTGACAAAATAATTACCAAAATTGAGTCAAATGAGCCAGTTTGAGACACCTACACAGTCCTAACACACACACGCGTGCAAACGAGCACGGGAAACGGATTCATGGTTTCATAAAAGGTTTTCCTGTTAGTTCCAGTGCTGCCTCCCTCCAGGCAGTTTTCACAAGTGCGAAGTTTCTGTAGCTATGTTCCAGGCCAACCGAAATTATATTTACAAGATAATGAATTTGTAAGTTGTTCTTAGTGCTACTGTCAGAAGAATTCATTGATCTCCTCTTAGACTCTACAGTCAATTTCACAGTCTGTAGCTATTTGCTTATGGCTACAAAATTTTATCTCACTTTATCTTTGACAATAATCCCTCTACGTTTACAATTTATTGGTGGTTCAACATCATGGCAAACCACATGGCACTTGCTCTTTAGTCTCTAATCCTTTGGCATCCAAGCTTTTCACTGCAGCAACAGCTGTAGAACAGGAACCAGTATGAGTCCCATAGAATTGCACAGTGATGGAGGGGAAATGCAGGGATAGGGGAAAGATGCAATCTGGCTGTAGCTCCAGACTGCAAGACTGGTAAAGAGCAGGAAAGGTCATTCTGGGGAGAGGTAAAATATGGAAGTTCAAGAGTTTGATTTTAAACAATTTTACAAATTAACAGTAGGAGGAACATCATCTGTAAGTATCTGTTTCAGTACTTTGATGTGGTCCATATAAGAAAGGTCAGAACTACTACAGCTAGGGCAAGAAATAAGGAATTTGTTCCCATTCTTCTTTATTAATGAAAGTTGCTTGTACTTTAGTTCACCTTCTATTAAAAAAAAAGAAAAAAACCATACATATAAATACCTGCTTGCCTTTGTAAACACCCCAGCATCTGGCAGATAGCACTAGGAAATGACAGTTATTGCTAGCAATATTTAACAGTATTCTTTGTTAAAGGATCCTTGCAAAAACATAAAAAAGGAAAAAAAGAGACATACCTGCAGGATCAAAAGGCAGGATTTCTCCCAACATCCCAAACACTCCATCAGTTTGGTCACGATTTGGCCATGTGTTGTTTCTAGGTCCTTGTGGTTTCTGTCCTAACATCTCTGACATCATATTGTCCATATAGCTGCTCACAAGACCCAAGCTGTACAGATCGGAGCTTAAATCTGAAAAACCAGGATTGTTCCACTGGTTTATATGAGACAATCCAGCTCCAACAGCTTGGGCTGGCTGCTGTGAAGAATTAGTCAGCCATTTGGCAGGTACACGTTGCTGTGGTCCAATAGGTTGAAGCAAGTGTTGGTAATACTGCATTTGCTGCTGCTGCTGCTTTTGTGACTGCTGTTGCTGTGACAAGCCTTGCTGAGAGGGATGCAGTGGTGTGTGAGAGACAGACTGCGGTTGCTGTTGTACTGTTCCTGATTTTGGTTCTGTTGCTGCAGAGGATGCAACAGAGTTCCTTCTTTTCACCATCGGAGAAGTCTGCTGGGATTTGCCCATGTTAAAACCAGACAAGAAATCGATAACATCCTGCATTTCTTGGTCAGTTGGTAAATTCATACCTTTGTCATCCTTGCCATCATCTGGTTTGAAGAAATTATCCCGTCTTTCGACTAGAAACCCATTCACTAGCTGATTATTTGTGCTCTGAATTGACTGCAGTGGATCTGCAGTCCTAGGAAAATTACCAATGTTTAAAATGCTTTGTAACCGTGCATCTATGTTAGCAGGCATTTTAGCTTTCTCCTCTGAGTTGGAACTTATGAAGACATTTTTGGAAGATGTATTAGAGATTGAATAACTTCCAGTATTACTTGTACTGGTGCAGGAAGTTTTTTTTGTAAACCGTGAAGTCAGTTTTGAGAACGTCTTTTGTAGACCACCTGAAGATTTGCTTCCATTTCCGGATGGCATGTCAACTTGATTCCCAAAGTCTGAGATTTCACGCTGTAACTGGATCTGAATACAAGGCAAAGCTTGCTCCCTGCATCAACAAAAACATGTACGTCAAACCATCTAATATATAATAACTGGGTTTATACTTTGGAGGAAAAAGCCTATTTGGGTAACTAGTGGAAGAAACAAATCCAAAGATTGCCAAGTTCATCAGCTGCTTCTTATGGTAACAATGCAAATTATTACTAGTAGTTGCAATAGCATCGACTACTTTCTAGTCCGTAAGAAATTTTAATTGCGCTTCAGGACCTAAATGGGGACTAATTTTATAAATCAAATATTTCTTAAGAGAGAAACAAATACTTTTGTACACTTGGATAAGCTGCTAGTTTGGTTTTAAAACGACTGCTGTCTCTCTGCCTGCACCCACAAGGTGCCTATGCAGATTACCGATTTCTCACTCGGTTTGACTACTGCTTTCCTTCTAATGAACTGGTACTATCAAATTCCTCAGTACAGATCTTTCAACAATGATGGCTTTGTTTAAACTAGGGAAGTAGAGCATGAGGCTCAAGAGATGTACCTTCCTTCCTTCCACCTCTGTATGTCAAACACAGCAGTATAGAGCACATCTACTAGTCCCAAAGTCTTCTCTGGATCCAGACTCCTCTGTAGCAAAGACATTGTTGCTGGATCTTCTTTCAGACACCTGTAATCATTAAGTTTAACTTAAAAATCCAAATTTTTCTTTTTTACATTAAAAAATTTACCATAGTAGTCAGATAATAAAAGGCCACTACTGTCCTACAGAGGTGCAACTAGTAAATGCAGCATAACATATGAATGCCTGAGTGTTCCTAAAGACTACACCTGCAGCCCCAGATTCTTCTGCTTTGAATATACAAATCATCTAACTGTAAAATTAAGAGTTATATAATCTATTTTAAAATCATGATTAACCATTAGGTCTTTTAGCTGAACAGGCGTAATTCAGGCACAGCAGTAAGAAATAATAAATACACAAAGCCATTTCTGGAAAAAGGCAAGAGCACTCAACAAACGTGACAAAACACTAGCATGTGGGTGCACTATGGAGTCCAACGCTAAGAACCACCAGCCTGACAGACTCCGCATGGAAAATAATTCAGCATATCCAACAGTCTGGGGAAGATTTCACTGAGCTGTGAAGATGCAGGATTAGTGAGTTTTCCTCATTAATGGCACAGAATTAGGACTGAATTTGAGGTGAAACCAGAATAACTTAAATCTAAACATTAGCACATTTGTCAAGTACTTAATGAGCCCATCCAGCAGAGGCGAGTAAAGAGGCACTCTTACTGTGTGTGTCAGCAGGCGGAGCTCTTCCAGAGCACACGAAATCTGGCTCAAAGCACTCTGCTTTTAATTCTTTCACAAGAGAGACATTTACATAAAGAGAACAGAGAAGTGCCAGTTTATACTCTATAGAGGAATTAAAGATGTATTTGGGTAAACAGACTATCTATCTTATCTGTTGACTCACACTTCTGTCGATACCACTGGCACCATTAGTAACAAGCTATCTCACTAAGGATTCAGATGAACAAACTGTGGTTGCACTGAAACTCTTAACACTGAGTACTCCAAAGTAAGAGAAAGGAAGTGTTCCAATTCCAAATCACTGTTTCAAAAGGGAAGAAATCTTCACCTAAACTGCAGATTAATCCTACTGTTCTTTCCTAGGCAGTCAACTAAACTGATAGGAATAGCGTGTCTCGGACCACAGAGTTCTGCGGTTCATGACCGTGCTTAAAGAAAAGCTCAGTGAAGAAAGAGCTAAAGGTCTCATTAATCTCATGTAATTCCTGGCCTTCCTGAGGTAAAAGCTGTGAGGACCTGCCAGGGAGGAGCATAACAGGAATGTTATTGGATTTTTTTTTTTTCAAAACCTTCTCTTTCATCATCAAGCTTTTACTTTTTCTTTAAAAGTGTGTTTTAGTGCCCCAGCACTGCCTCTCTTCTATTGCCTCCAACAGAGGCAGCGCTAGCACAAAGACAGCTGAAGTACAACTGTCAGTCTGTCAGGAATGGTGGTAGTCAAACAGTTCCAGATAAAGGAACTTAAGGAAGACAGGCCATAATTGCATAGCATTCTCTCTTCCACTTGCACTGCAATATTCTTCCGTATATATTTCAGTTATAGCTATTCATATAATCTGCAATACAGTATTTTTATTTACCAAGTTGATGGAACTTGCACCACAATTCTGGATCCTTCTAAACTTATCTGAGGAGCATAGGCTTCTTTATTTTCAATCTGTGCTGTGTCCACAACCACCTAGTGAATAAAATGAAAATAAAAAAGGAAAATTATTTTAAAGAATTAGTTCTAGTTATTTTATCACCCCTGTAGTTAAGATGCAATAGTCTCACCTCCCTGCCACACTACAGTAATCGGATACAAATCAACTCACAAAATCATAAGCTGATTTCTATTTTAATGTCTAAAAAAAGAAAGAATATAAAATGATTAGTTTGATACAGTAACCTATATTTCAAGGAGTTAATTCTTCTCAATTACATACTGTAGTTATGCACCACTACGTAGTTACCAACTGCTTTATGTAACAGCTGGTAGTTATCAATGGCTTCGTGTAACAGCCTTTACATTTCAGAGGTTTGACACTACTACTTTAAGAGCTCCCAAACACCTTTTTATCAAAATATTTTAAATCATTTAACTGCAGTGCATGGTACGATACAGACAAGTAGTATTTAGCCTGAAACTCTTTACGTAGCTCACAATTCTTAACACCACCACCCCCCCTCCTTTTAAGGTTATAAAATCCCACACCAACATTTCTCTATTCTACCTAAAGGAACCATACTATTATTAATTCCCTATTATATAAAGAGAAGAAAAGTGACTGTTCAATTTCTCGAATTCTGAGACTTCTGTAAGACATCATGAAGATATATGGAAGATGAAAGTCTTGAAAAATTAACCTTCTGTCATGAACCTTTCTTTTTATGGAATTGAGAAGGAATGGATTCACTTCAGCTTCATTTAAACTTTAATACCAGTGATAGTAAGTTCCATATTTGGTTCGTGCTTTCTGTTGTTGTCCAGTCTGCATGGATTGGCCTTTTTGATCATTTCCATAATTTCCTATTTTGGTCATGCTGAACCAGCAGCTTTTTGGCAGCAGTCAGCAGTTCCTGCTGCAGTGACTAGCCAATTAGCTGTACCATTTATCCTTGAAATGGCAAAAGTCCTCTGGTATAAATAAGCCTCAAGGGATATTACTGGCTTTTTTGTAATCATCCTACACTGGTTCTACTTCTAACTGGTTGTCTACTACAGGTTATGAAGAAATGTGAAATTTGAATAATGATGAGAGTCTCTTCTTTCTCTTGCTTTAACAAAACCATCCAATGACACTTGAACACAATTACTTCCCACCTTTTAGATATTTTAGCATATGGCCTTAGTTTTCCTCCAGCTGACACTAAGCATCTACCCGAGTTTATTCAAACTTGTAAAACATGTCTAAGCACAGTGACAAAACGCCATGCTATTATCCACTCATGAAAATACCTCTCATTTAATAACAGGGCAACTCCATTACATTTTTCCTTGTATTTGTACCATTTTAATTTTATGTAATTTGGTAATCTGCAATTCAGCTACATTGCAATTATAATTGGGATAAGGAGACATGAACTTAGGAAATGATTCTTCTTAACTCCCAAGAAAATTACTGTCTGCACCTCAGACCTATAAGTCGGAACCAAAATTCTGATTTGTGCAGACCTAGATCAGATTCTGGCAGCAGTGTACAGTAGCACTCGTGGTCTGGGCTTTGTTGGGGGTGTTTCCACCACCCCCCACCCCCCCCATATCTTCCTTTCTTCCCTTTAAAAACAGTTTAACATTTCTCAACAGTTGGTCACAGAGTTACGACATCTGGGATTTAAACACTGCTAGGACATTTAGTGTCTCTGCAAGGCATGTTGGGTTTTGCTACAGAAAGATCTACTAGCACAAAAAATGATGGCCAGAGACTCAGTTAAACCTTCTCTCATGACTTTGCATGAGCATGAGGCCAATTCAAAGTTTTATTTCCACTCATCCTCTGATTTCAGCTATTTAAATATGTTACTTTTATTCAAACATGGAGATTTCTTCAGCTGACCCAAATCTGAAAATACAATTCTTAATATATATGTTAAGGTACACACTGAAAGATTGCACTTTAAAAAAAAATTGTTTATGTTAAAAAACTGAAGCCTAAAATAACCAAGCAAACTAAGTCACATCTCATTGTGCTTTCCACTCTTAATGAGTTTCTTCTTAAAAGGCACATAGCAAGATAGGCTAAAGATAGCGAGACCATCAAGTAATGTTCTTTTTTAAATTTGGCATTTAAATGACAATTTTTGAAATTTGGCATTTAAATGACAAATTTACGCACAATTCTGAACTAATGCAGACAGCTTAGTTTCTAAAAGCAGTAAACCAAAGACTACGTAATATTGTCCCATGATTAATTTATCTGAGTTTTACACAAAATAAACTTAAAATAAACACATTCTCCCTCCCCGCCTGGTGGGTGCTTAGAGGATAGCTTCCTGTGCATCAGACATCTATTGTTCTTGTTTTACAGGTGTTTCCTCTCTCATCTCCACCCAAAGAATGCTTTAAAGAAGCAAGTTACAATTTCCCGTCATTGCATGAGGGTACATACAAGTATAATTGAATCTTGTAAAAAATGATGGCCCATAGCTTATAAAGAAAAACCTCAACCCTCACTCCCTTCCAAATTGTAACAAATCAAAGTGAGAATAAATGAAGGAGAGAAGGCTCACTTTGTCATGTGTACAGCTCATCACTGTGTCTTTGAACATAGAAACCTGCTACTTTCAGAACCTGAGGTTCATGCAAAAATCTTTGGAGACACTCATGATTCAACACAAGTAATATTCCTTATATCAGCACTGTCATTAGGGAGAACATACAAGTAAGTTTTATGCTGACAACTCTCCAAATGTTATGATAAACTTGAAGAATAACAGCACTTTAATTACCAGCAGGTCTAACTAGTTATGTCTAGACTGGCGGACACCAGGAGATTTCCAGACTCCAGAGT